TATAATGCTATAACTTATTGAAAAGTTTATGGATCCACACAATTTTTTTATGAGAAATAATATTTTTTAATAAACCCTTTTTCATTTGACATACTTTATCTTAATCGAGATATTAATAAGGAACCAGCAGATCAAGTAGCTTTTGGAATAAAACACCATTTTTTTTAAAATTAAACACTATCTAATGATTTGCATCGAAGCGTTTATTTTTGATAGTGATTTTAATCACTGTCAGATATCATTATACTTGATCCAACTATGCCACGTCACCACTGTGCCGCGACCCCCCTGTGCTGGGTTTTTATTTTTAGTATTATAGTTTTTTTCCATTAATCGAGTGGTTTATTTAATGGTTTAAGTGGATCATCTCGTGTAACTTTATTATGGTGAAACTTGAATAAAATATTGGTAGGTTAAAAATTCTTTCTAAAAATAATGACTACATTGTAATGTGGGTTCATATTTTTTCCAATGAAATCTATTCAAAGTAAATTTTTGTAAATTTTATTAACTTTAATCCTATTTTTTATGCATATTTCATATTTTAAGTGTACATAATTTCTGACTCAAACTACAATTGACAAAGTATTGTTATTGGTAAACTATTATTAAATTATCATAAAACATATTTTACGAAATTTTCATTTTTTACAGAACAATTTATGGTAATGATAGAAATTATCGTTTCAGAAGTTTCTAACTTGCCCATGATGATTTCTATAATTTTTGAGTAGAGAAAAGTACAACCTCTTTTTATTATGGATTAGAGTTTTAATACATTTTATTTTTTAATTGAAGAAAATGTAAATGAACGTCTTTTTGCGTATTTTGTTAAAATAAATAATAAGCAAAAGATGAGTATACCAAAAACTTTTCCATCCGGACTTTCAAGGACTCGGCTCGTCCTCGTTTTATACACATTCAAAGTTGAACATGATAGAAACATTAAATACGATTATTGTCCCTGTTAATGACCTTATAGCTTAAATCAACTAAAAATAAAAAACACACATATTCCGAGTAATTCTTGTACTCGATGACTTGACAAAACGTGATATAAATATAATGATAATTTTTATGATTGCATGTTACACCCGTTAAGTGATTTAGCATTAAATTGCATCTCATGTATGAACACGTTTCCTTTATTTTATTGGTTCTCAAATTACCACAAATTTTTGTTTTTAATTTATAGAACAGTATTTGTGTAAACTAAGTTTTAATTGTCCTAATAAAAGTATATAAATTTGTCAAAACCTTGTGGGACATATATCTAATATTGATATATACAAACTGTAAAATTTCATACAGAATTTGAAGGATTATTAAATGTAGTCATTACATGTCCTAAACATTTATTTGAAGATCTTTTCTTGATAAGTATTTAATAATAAAGGTCATTAACTCAGTAAAATGATTATTTCTTCTTAAGTGCACCTCAGCCCTTGCATACCGATTCCCCCGAATTTGTCTCTGAGTAATTCCAATAATAATATATCAGTAAACTGGGAAGAATAGTTAGTGTAGAACATCTAATTTTAAATATTAAAGGAAAAGTAATTTATATTTAAATTAGATACTGAACTTAGGTACATATAAGTATTAACACAATCAAATAAAAATAAACAATTCAGTAATAAGATTATGATAATTCGTACCACAAAATTTAAATACAATAATATAATTGATTAGTCATATCAAAGCCTATATAATTATATATTTGCGTACTTAATCACCATTCCAGTGGTCGCAGCCGACGAGTGCACAACTTTCAATAACTAAACTGTGTTTATTTCAACTTTTTAAACGAAACAATAAAAATACCGAGGTATGTTATTTATTAATAATTATTTACAAGTAAAATTTTTTTTAAATATATATTTAAGTTTTGACTAATAATATATTTTGTATAATATAATTTATCATCTTGACTCTATATTTTCGGTTAATATTTAGTTACTAATAATATTGTGAAGTCAACACAAGAATATGATTCTTCTATCTACTACTATAACGTTATCATTATCAATATAGTATACTAAATCATAATATAAATCAATGAAATAAGTACAAAATAGATTTCTTTCTTTTTTGAATATTTCAATGAATTCATTTTAAACTTATATGTTATTTAAAATCATAAACATATTTTCAATAATAATCATATTAGACAACAAATATCTAAAAAGAATGAAATTCCAAAACTTATTATTATGTAAGCTAGACTCTACTTTTGCGATAAACAATGATTATAATGAATATTATCTCAGTAAAATTTGACCTTTTTTAAAGCTATATTTAGGCTATTATTAAATCATTATTAATGATTATAATTTGTTACATTTTTTAATAGCAAGTGATATTAAATATAGCATTGAAAAATAGCAGCTTATGATACATCATTATTTACTGATAACTTGGCAGTCCCTCCAGTTTTTAACCGTATATAAGTAGCAGATTAATAGAAAATAATAGTGTTATTAATACTGAAAAATAACAATATATATGAAAGGTATACAAAAAATCATGGGGTGAATCTATATTAATTAATTTAGAGTGATTATGAGACTAATTTAAATATTTTGAAATTTCACACATTAGTTTTCTATCATATAAATAAAATAAAATTTCCAAGCAAAAATGTTTGGTTGAAAATAGATTTATTACCCGCCAAAAGTTTGAATTCACAAAATACCAGCATTTCGTAGAAATACTCCTAAAATCTATATATTCATATACAAGACTTGAAAATTTTATTACTTTTTTATTATGGGTCTTCTAACATTTTCAAAAATTAACACTAGGATTTTTTAATTTTAAGTAATATTTTTTATAAAAAAGCACCTTTTTTAAAATTAAATATTTGATTAAATACAATTGTTTTAAATAAAATTTTTCTTACATCATAATAACATTATTCAGTAATATTAAATATAATTTTGTTTGGGAAATTTTTTCAATTTTGTGGCCTATTTTTATTAACACAAATTTAAAAAGTTTAAATTTCTAAAATAAAGATTTTTAGACAACATTATCTCATTTTTTATCCAGTGAGTCAAAAAATTAAATCATACAAATATCAAACAATATTGTCACATATGGTGACATTCTTTGGTAAAAAACCCATGTTTGATATTTTATCGAAACCAATTCAAAATTAACTCTAATAGTTCTTATTAGCTTCGATGCGATGCTGAGAAGGTATTAATTTTAATGTGTTTTTTTTTTTTTTTTGGGAATTTTATTTATTTTTTTGTGTCTGTTACCAGTTTTTCTCAGTTCTCACTGAACCGATTTCTTTCAACGATACGTCAAAAGATCACAAATCATATCTAGTTGAATACATTACCCTCAAAAATTGAAAAACTTCCCTCGTTCCCCGTAAATGGGGAAAATCTCCAAAAAATTACAAATTAAAAAATCGCTATTTTTCGAAATTTTTTCAATTTTTTTTCTTAAAACTGCCATAACTTTTTCAAAAATAAACAAATCAATATAACTTTTTTTTCACAGATGCTTGATGTCTTTACCTATCATTTGGTTTATTGTTTTTATAAATTTTACTCTTTATCTGCCCACAGGGGGAATTCAAAATGACAACTTTTTCACAAAAAATTAACTTTTACAACTTAACTTTTTTAAGTGTTCCAGAAATACTGACACTATTATATATATATCTTAAATTAAAGCTTATGCATTATACTTTATTATGGAAAAAAAAATATTTCGGACTTTATTTAGTCTTCACAGTGAAAAGGGCTACCGTATGATATTTTTGTCTTAAATTTCTTGATTTTATATTTTTAATTTTTTACTTTAAAATGCTATAACTTATTGAAAAATATTTTAAAATTTATTATGTTGTAAATGTTTTATCATTTTGATGATTGAGATGTGTGTTATAAAGAGGAAACTTATATAGTTGTTAGCCAAAGAAGAATCGTTATTTAGAAATTTGAACTTTTTTTAAGTTTGTATTTATAAAAAAAGACTAAATAAAAAATTAAAAAACCAAATTTTATTATAATACTGAACAATGTTAATATGATATAAGAAATTTTTATCTAAGACAATTGTGTTTGATCAAATAATTTATTTTGAAAAAGTCGTTTTTTTTTATAAAAAAAAATTAAAAATTAAAAAATCCTATTGCTAATTCTTGAAAATGTTAAAAAACCCATTATGTAAAAGTGATGAAATCACTTATTATCACTTCAAGTCTTATGTATAAATACATAATTTCAGTCGTATTATTACAAAATTCCTGTATTTAGCAATTTCAAAATTGTGTGTTATGGAAATTTTATTTTATTTATATACTAGAAAACTCATGTATGAATTATTAAAAAACAAATATTAAATTTATGCGACCACTCTACATGAATATATAGGGATTGACCCAAGACAAGACAATTTTTGTGTTAACTCAGAATATAGAATTTTAAAATACGATATTATATTATAGTGCACCATAACTTTCGAGGGGTATAATTTTGAAACCCTAATTTTTTCACTAGTTATGTATGTTATTCATGGCGTTACACTTTAATTAGTACGACCTTTAGTTGTTTATCTTAGGGGACATAAACTAGTCAGAAACCCTCAATACTCAATGTAGAGATACTGTTAACAGGTATTTGTGACTCATACCCAAATAGCGTCTTATCACAAGCATAAAAAGCGAATTATGAAATAGTTTCACTGTAAAAAATAATACAAATAGTGTTTTTTAGACATAAAATATTGAAAATTCGTGAACAAATATAACATTATTACCATTACTTATCTAAATTTTCACTTACATTGTTTGTGTTAAAATCTTTCAATACATGTATTTAAAAATTTGGACATTTTTTTTAGAGTGTAAATAAAATGTATTTTAGGCTAAATACGTATCATAAGTGTATAATTTCTAACAAATTTTATCAGATAAAAAATCACCTATAAAAAGAAAAAAATCTATTTACTTTTCGAAGCTCATTTTACTCAACAATATCGAATTTAATTATTTAACTATTAATTCTGTTTAATTACTTAATATCCATTTTCCCAATCTGTATTATGCTAAATATAGAATAGTGGTTTATTTGTTTTTGTCATTATACAACTTAATAGAATATGTTATCGTATTATTTGTATATTTCACAGGTTATACTTACTATATAACTATATATATACTATATATAAGTCTATGGTTGTAACTCAAATGAACGAGTTACCGTTATTTCGTACAACTAATTCATTTAGTATAGGAAAACTAAGAAAAACAACTTATAATACAATTTTTAGCAGTATGCTAAAATAACTAAAAATAAAGTTATTGGGGATGGTACTAATAAAGAAGAATGATAATAGCATCATCCTTAAAGACATAATAAATACAAGTACTTTTATTTCTAGTTATTACTTGATTAGTGTATTAAAACTACTCTTACCTGATATTCACTGATGATGATAAAATCTCGATTGAGGACTTGTAGTTGTTAATAGTGCAGGCACGTAGACATGGGTGGGCCTGGCCCTCCTTAGATTAAATGTGTAGATTTAAAATTCAATTATTTTTACGAATTATCAAAAACATGCTAGGCCTTATATACATTGAAATTATTATTAATTTGTGATTACTATTGAGTAATACAGTTATTATTATGGCTGTATTTTCATTTTTATATTCATAGAAAACGTTATTTGAAAAAGATAACGTTCTAGACGTAATAATAAATGGAATAGCAGTTACTCCAAACGTGGTTGTAGTTAAATTTTTTTTAACTCTGGTCCAACAAATGATAACAAATTTGCCGATTTTGTATTTTACATTTTTAACTTTATAATGCTATAACTTTTTGAAAAATGTATGGATCAACACAATTTTTTTATGAGAAATAATATTTTTTAATAATCCCTTTTTCATTCGAAATACTTTATCTTAATCAGGATATTAATAAGGAAATAGCAGATCATGTAACTTTTGGAATAATCCACCAATATTTTAAAAATAAACACAAATTTTGAACTTGTAAGATTCATAGAATGGGATACTGTCTAAGGAGGAGTGGAGGGAGCCCCCCCAAACTTTTCATGGGAAACAAATTATGGAAAATGATACAAGGGCCCAAAATTGTTGGCCCCTCCAATAAACATTTTCTGGCTACGTGCCTGTAATAGTGTTGTTTAAAATTATAGTAGGTATGTTAATGAAAGATAATTGTAAGTGATTATTAAAAGCGTATTTATTATAATGTAAAGTGTTAATTATTTTAACAAATGTACGTTTTAAACTAAATAAGAAAAGTTAAGACTATAGAGACACAGTATAAAGATTACCCTATAGTATGTATGGAATAGTCTTAAATAGTTACTTGATAAAAGAGATTGTTGAGTGAGAGGAAAAACAAGGTCTTCAGTCCTTATATGAGTCGCATAGAGCCAAAAAGCTTAACCCACAAAAAATATTTTCCGTTTTATGAGATCAAACGTTTTAGAATGATATTTCAAAACCGATGTGGCCCAATCCTAACAAAAAATTATTTTGTAGATGGCAGCACTTAATTTGTTTTGGCATTAATACTTTAATTCCTATTTTCAATGCTAAAGTGGCCTAACCTACTGATAAAGGGTTAAGCCATTATTAAGCTCAAAATGCAGTGGTTACATTACATAAGTGACCAGCATTTTAACTTTAGTTATAAGTATTCTAATAATCCTGATTTCCCATTTAACTGTGTTAATATTGGTAAAAGAAACTTGAAAATTGAAGACTATACAAGAAAGTTAGATCTATTGTATCCTAATGGCCATACAATGAAAGAAGCAAAAAAAAAAAAAAGA